GCCCCGTCTTCCCTGTGCCCTCACCTCTGTGTTTCCCCGAGTGATTATCTCTGCAGCTGGAGCTTATTTTTAACCACAGGCTCATGAATGTTTCATCAGCGCAGAAATAGTCGCTCTCGCCGCCCTGCCGCCTCCCGCAGGCTTCCTGGCAGGGCCTGGCGGGGCCCCCCAGAGGTGGGCAGCGGGATAGCCCGGGTCTGGAGCTCAGCGGAGGAAATCTCCCTCCACCCAGCGGCTTATAGGGTCTCCTCCCGGGTGGGGAGCTCACAGAGCGATCGGCATCAACACGACCCGAAAGGTGGAGGGGCCTGACCAGCGGCCCCCCACTTCCCCTGAACACGCGCACACGCCTGCTGGCTCAGACAGCCCGTGTGCGATGTGGCCGTCTGACGAGCGGTCTCCGGGCCTGGCTGTTGGGACCGCGTGCGCGCCCACCATGTTCCCGCAGCTCCCTGCGCGTGGGGCTGACCTGGGGCTGAAGAGGGGTTCATGTCACGGGCACCCCTTGGGGCATTTGCTGCGTTTGTGCTTCGTGCCCTGCTTCCTTCCAACGGGATTTGAAAGAGTCACACTGACGAGCAATGGTGTCGGGTGGGTCTAACCCAGCGGTTCTCAACCTGTGGGTCGCGACCCCTCTGGCGGTCCAACGACCCTTTCACAGGGGTCGCCTAAGACCATCCTGCATATCAGATATTTACATGACGATTCCTAACAGTAGCAACATGACAGTTATGAAGTAGCCACGAAAATAATTTTATGGTTGGGTCACCACATGAGGAACTGCATTTAAAGGGCCAGAAGGTTGAGAACCACTGGTCTAACCACAGACGCCGTGGTCCTCGCCCTTCAGAAACCCACTCGGCAGCGTGTGCTCAACAGACGCATACCCGGGGCCTGAGGACCCCACGTCTGTGACTGTGTCCAAGAGACACGAGTCCACACGTCCACCAAAGAGGCATAGCATGCTGGTCGCAGGGCTGTCCACAGCAGCCGAGGCCTCGGACGGCACCCACGTGCACGCAGGAGAGACCCACGCCACGTGGACTCGTGCACAGCAGTGCAAAGGGCACGGATGCTGCACGCAGCGTCGATGGCGCGCACGGACATGGTGTCGGGCAGCAGACGCAGACGGGGGCCCTGCTGTTGGCTGCACGCGTGCGCAGCGGGCACGCTGGCCTGTGGAGGCGTCAGTGGGGGGCTGGTCCCAGGGGGGGGGTTGGCGGGAGGGGGGGGGGGAGCGCTCTGCGTGGTGCTTGCGGGTGTGTCGTCTGGGGCCGTGGTCGGCAGACTCATTAGTCCATAGAGCCAAATACCAACAGAACAACGATTGAAATTTCTCTTGAGAGCCAAATTTTTTAAACTTCAACTATATAGGTAGGTACATTGTTATTAACTTAATTAGGGTACTCCTAAGGCTTAGGAAGAGCCACACTCAAGGGGCCAAAGAGCCGCATGTGGCTCGCGAGCCGCGGTTTGCCGGCCACGGGTCTGTGCGAATCCGTCAGGCTGAGTCCCACGATGACACTTGTACTCACTGTGCGAGCTGTGCATCACCTAGAGCAGTGACGGCGAACCTATGACACGCGTGTCAAAGGTGACACGCGAACTCATTTTTTTGGTTGATTTTTCTGTGTTAAATGGCATTTAAATATATAAAATAAATATCAAAAATATACGTCTTTGTTTTACTATGGTTGCAAATATCAAAAAGTTTCTATATGTGACACGGCACCAGAGTTAAGTTAGGGTTTTTCAAAATGCTGACATGCCGAGCTTAGAAGGTTCGCCATCACTGGCTTAGAGGGCGGGGTGAGGGTGGGGAAGGCATGGGGGTGTAGCAGAGACCCCAGATTTGTTGCAACTTGGCCCAAAATTTAGCTCTGAGCTTCCTGGATGCCCGGACGAGCCGGGAGCCCCGTAAGTGACACAGCTGCTGGTTCCCTGGGGGGCCCGGCGTCTCCGTGCCAGCAGCTCGGAGAGGAGTCTGGGCAGGTGGATGTGCCCGGGAGGCGGTG